GTTCAGCCATCTCCAGGAAAGCAGGGCTCCATCACATGTAATGGTTACTTGGGAAGACAAAATGCTATAACCCTGAACACCTCCCCCTTTCCTTCTTCTTCCCCCAGCTTTATATATGCTGAGCATGACGTCACATGGTATGGAATATCCTTTTGGCCACTTTGAGTCAGCTGTCCTGGCTATGCTCCCTCCCAGCTTCTTGTGCACCTCCTTGCTGGTGGTGCTCCTTCCATGTTCCTTCCCCTGAGCATGGGAAGCTGAAAAGTCCTTGACTTAGTATAAACACTGCTTAGCAGCAACTAAAACATCAGTGTGTTATCATATTAGTCTCATGCTAAACCCAAAACACAGCACTATATCAGCTCCTAGGAAGAAAATTAACTCTATCCCAGCCAAAACCATGACACCGGCACAGGTAAAGGTCACAGCTGCATCTGAACATAACTAATGAAAGATTTTGTCGTGGTGAGTGCTGTGGGTCAACCCCGGTGGGCAGCTAAGCGCTCACCTCCCCCCAATCCCAGTAGGATGGGGGAAGAAGAAAGGAAGAGCAAAAGCAAGAAAACTTGTGGGTCAAGATAAAAATTGTTTAATAAGCGAAAGAGAAGTGGAAGAAGAGAGAAACAAAACAAAACAAGTGATGCAAAGGCAATCATTCTCCACCTCCCACACATAGACCAATGCCCAGCCAGTTCCCGAGCTAGGGATGGCTAATCTCCCTAAGCCCACTCCTCTCCCTTTTTACTGCTGAACATGATATTACATGGCACGGACTATCCCTTCAGTCAGTTTGGGTCATCTGCCCAGTTGTGTCCCCTCCCAACCTCTTGTGCACCCCCAATCTATTCAGTGCAGGGGGCAGAGTGAGAAACAGAGAAGGCCCCAATGCTGTGCAAACACTGCTCAGCCACAGCTAAAACCTCAGTGTTATCAGCATTGTTTTGGTCACAAATTTAAAACACAGCACCATATGAGCTACTATGAAGAAAATTAACTCCATCCCAGCCAGACACAGTAGAGTAAGACAGGTTCCCCTCATAAAGTGGGGATTTCTCCTAAGCTATGGAGTCCACGAAACACATAAATGTGCAGGGACACCCTAAGGTCTGGGAGATCCTTTGCAGTGCACTGTTGAGATCTTGTCCTTCAAAGAAAAAAAACAAACAAACAGAAAAAACCAGAGAACGTGGTCTACTCTGTTCACTTTTTTTTATAGCTCCTGAGGCCACCAGGAGCAAAATGAAGCATATTAATTTCTACTCAAAGAATTAAAACAAAAGAGTATACAAGTAAGTCAGAAACAATCGGCTCCAAACCCGACTGCTGCCAGTAGGCAAAATTCCCATTTACTTCACATGTTGCCAACTCTTATGTTATTGTGATGGTCGGAGCCTCACTGAACTGCTTCAGTCAGACTGTCCTCAGAAGCAGGGCAGTTTTGGGGGTTTACAAGGCTAAGTTTTGCTTCCTCTCGCTTCAGCAGATAAGCTTGAAAACACGAACAGAGACTGCCCAGAAACCCATTTGTCATTCTTGAAAAACGTTGCGTTCTTTACGCCAACTATCAGTCTCAAGAGGCCAGCTTGTGCTTTCTGAACAACTGAAGTTGGCAATACTAAAACCTTTATAAATCTGAGAGTGAACCCAAGCAGTTGCTTTGTTCTGTCTGCATCTGGTTTACACATTTTAAAAGAGAAACTCTGTGACCCTGCTTATTCACAGAGAAAAAGTGGAAGGTCTACACAGCCATGCTTTTAATTATTGTTGACACTGAAAGTTAAGCTTTGAGGTTCCATCCCTATGGCATTACTTGGTGGTAGAATAACGTTTTTATTCTTGAGACATAGTAGCTTTCCATAATGCAAGCAACAAATAAAGTATAGCAATCTGGGGAGCTCTGCATCTGAATTAAAATAGTGGTGAAAAATTAGCATCCTCCTATTTCTAGGAAATCTGACTTCTAAAGACTGTGCATTCCTCATTCCTATTAAGCAGAGGAATAAATAATCGTTCCGTCTTCCCCCTTAACCTAACAGGCAGACATTACCAACTGGCAAC